TGTCAAGCCACTGATCTCTCCTTCCTGGGCTAACGGGCTCCAGTTACAGGCAGCCAGATTTGGGTTGAATATCAGGAAAAACTTCCCGCCTAATAGAGCAGGAGGACAGTGGAACCTGTGACCTCAGGAGTTGTTGAGCGCTTCAACCCTGGAGGCCTTCAAGAGAAAACTTAGCTATGTTTTGATTATATTCCTGCACTGAGCAAGGGGTTGGACTTGATGGCCTTGTAGGCCCCTTCCCACTTCACTTTTCTATGATTCTGTCTGATTTTTCGAGGCAGTGACAGATTTTACTTTCTTGGGCTCCATGATCACTGCAGATGGAGACAGCAGCCCCGAAATTAAAAGACGTCTGCTTCTTGGGAGGAAAGCGATGACAAACCTTGACAGCATCTTAAAAAGCAGAGATACCACCTTGATAACAAAAGTCCGAATAGTCAAAGCTATGGTTTTTCCTGTAGTGATGTATGGAAGTGAGAGCTGGACCATAAAGAAGGCTGACCGCCGAAGAATTGATGCTTTTGAGTTGTGGTGATGAAGGGAGACTCTTGAGAGTCCATGGACTGCAAGGAGAACAAACCTATACATTTTGCAGGAAATCAACCCTGAGTGCTCACTGGAAGGACAGATCCTGAAGCTGAGGCTCCAATGCTTTGGCCATCTCATGAGAACAGAAGACTCTCTGGAAAAGCCCCTGATGTTGGGAAAGTGTGAAGGCAAGAGGAGAAGGGGACGACAGAGGACGAGATGGCTGGACAGTGTCATTGAAGCGACCAACATGAATGTGACCCAACTCCGGGAGGCAGTGGAGGATAGGAGGGCCTGGCGTGCTCTGGTCCATGGGGTCACAAAGAGTCGGACGCGACTAAAGGAACGAACAAACGAACGTCTGATTTTTACACACTGACCTTAGGCAAAGTGATTGTCCCTTGCAATTTACTGCTGGATGGAAAGCAGTGCTTTGTATTTTGTGGTGTGTGTGCTTTCGGCCTTCCAGACACAAACTGTATATTTCCACAAGGGTAAGGCCAAAATGAGAAGTTTCAGGCTCTAGTTTAGGAAGCCAGAACAAGCCTTTCCCGCAGGACGCCAAGTCACATGTTAAGCAAGAATAAGGAAAGGCCTGGTGCAGTCCCGAAAATAATCCAAATGCAAGCGGAGGCGACACCTGTTACTGGAGCAGTAAAAAAAAAAAATCAAACAAATAGCAAGCTTTCACACCCTTACTCACGTGTCGCTCCATGGGCCATTCCATTCTCTCTCCCCCCAGGGGTTCCTCAGCCGGATCATGTCGAGCTTTTCCGATTTGAAAAAGGAGAGCAGGCCGTGGCCGAGGCGAACTTTCCTCACGTCGGTGACCGCGTAGGCGTGTCCTTTGACGAGACCGCAATCCAGGCGGGCTTCCATGTCGGCCGCGGAGGTGGCCTTTCCGAGGAAAGAAAGAGAGCAGAACAAAACGAGGATACCATGAGAAAAGAAATGAAGAGCTTTTACAAATGTGTTCCCCCCCCCCAGTGATCCCATCACTTAACCACTGGAGCAAATGAAATTTTTCCCAGAATGGTATCCCCCCTACACCTTTCCAAACCTCCATCAGGGGCTTCTCCTTCTGGTGTTGGGAGGATCGCTCTGTTTTAGGTCCATTTCCAGTGTGTGTGTGTAATCGCTGGGAATGGATGAAAAGCATATGTTCTCGGCTGTCAAGGTTCCTTCCAGTTAGAATTTCCAATATGGTGAAGGGGCTTAATAAGTGAGCCACTTCAGGATACTAGCTAATTGAACGTTTCCTCTGCTCCTCGGTGGAGGGGCGGAGGAAGTAAGAGTTCTTTTAAGAATTTGGTAGACTACTGCTGACGTTAAGAAAAGAAAATAATAATAAATATATATATTTGCTTCTTTTAAAGGACAAGTCAAGAAATTGGTTACAATTTCCTGTCCGGCCCTTTAGACTAACCAAAGAAAATAT